ACACACACACACACACACAAGCTGTCAGCAATGTTAACAGAAGCTGTACCTCATGTATATGCTGAAAGTTGTAAAATAGAGCTGGGGTCCCTGTTTGCGCCTGTTGCTGGCTCCCTGTCTGCGCCCCGTGATCCCTCGGGTTGGGCTGTAAGCTATCAGAGCGGCTTTTCTGGGTTCCCCACCCCCCACTTTGCTGTCAGGCCCTGTGGGTACCTTCACTAGGTGGACGTCCTGTCGGCTGAGCTGCTGTTGGGACAGGTACTCTCTGTTCACGATCCACGGGTGTTTGAGGACCTGCACTGCGGTCAGGCGCTGATGGGGGTCCACGTGGAGCATCTTGGACACCACATCCTGTCGGGAAAGGACAAAGGGAGGAGACAGAGGGCATATCAGCGCTGCCCTGAGCCTCCCTGGCAAAGATCCTCTCTCCCTCTCTCAGCAAAACCCAACCACTGTTCTCAGAGTGACTCTTCACATTTTAGGGTCAAATCTTTATTTTCACGTTCACAGGTATGTGGATGATTTCTAAGTTTTAACCAGCACCAACTTGGTGGTTCAGCCCCAGTTTATGTTGTGTTAAAGAGTTTATTTCTACAGAGAAATCCAGCATGGCGATGTTCGCTGGTGCATGTCAGTCAATGAAATACCATTTTAGTAAAAATGACATCTTCCAAAGGGAGCGGCTGAAATAATGAATATCCCACAGATATAATCCAATTCATAGCAATGTATGTAGTTACAGTTTTATCAGGATTACCCACAAATATGTGCTACAAGTAGCCCTCAGCCATGGAATCGACAATCTGTAGCCACCACGTATGTCCAGTGGGCTCCCGTCCAGGAGACATGAGTTTCTTATTTGATTGTCAAATGACAATAAAACTCCTAAAACTGGTTAAACACAGAGCTCCATTTACACGATACAATACATGCACACATGTGTACACATGTGTACACACATGTACAACTACAACTGTGGTTTGCATTTGCACAGCGTTTCTGCGAATGTCTTCCCAGGCTGCTGCGGCTGCTCTTGTGAGTCAACCGATCATTCTGGGAAGAGGGGGGACAACGATTTTCCCAGCTGTGCAGGTAAAGATGTTGACGTCTGTGGTGATTAACCTAGTGCCCAAGAAAGACCCACGACGAGAATCCACGCTTTCCCACTGGCCTGCTCTCCGTCCCTTAGAGTTCCCACCACATTTCAAAACAGAATGAATGCATCCTGTGAAGCTGAATTACTCAGCAGGATTTCTGGTCATAAACCACAACAAAGAAATCCTATGTATGATAACAATACCCTTTTTCCATAGAGAAGTCCACTGCCTTTTAATATGTGCTACCGTTAATCTTGGCAACATCTTGAAACAAATGTCTCCTGGAAGCATTGCTGTGCTAGTGGCCACGTGTAAAAATGGAAGCGGAAAGGCTGATGCTGACTTGTTCAAGATGTCATAGTAAAGCAATATGTTTGTATACACGCGGGATGCGGACAAAGTAAGACATACGCCTCTGTGGGCTTGGCCTGTTTCTGCAGGACGGGAGCACACAGGTGGGGAAAGGCGCCAGGAACCGAGGGAGGGGCGGATAGGGCGCTGACCGGGCGGGAAGAGCTGTGCGAGGCCCTGGGGGCAGCGAAGCCCGTGGCCCACGGCTGGGGTCTTGGTAATGCATCCTGTACGTGACCTCACTCCTTTCCTGACACCTCCCTGTCCCCAACTCCTGCCTTGGAGATCACGTCCCAGAGAAACTGCCAGCACCCAGGTCCTGGTCTGTGGCTCTGCTGTGGGACGCAGAGCTAAGAGAGTTCCTAGTTCTGAGACAGAGTGGATGGAAGTCACGGGGGTGTCAGGGTCCGACGCATGGGGAGTGCTCACCGAAGGCCAGCTACCATCTCTCTGCCATCACCCCTGCATGACCTTCACTGTCACCTCCAGCATCCCCTCCGCCATCACTGTATGAAGTCACAGGGCTGGTGATGACAGAGTTGGAATCGCCTACTCTCCTTCTACACTTTACAGTAACACGGGAAATAGACTTGATGCTGCTTACTAGTGGTTGGGTTCTAATTTACTATTTGATTAGAGAGAAGTTTGATGATGTCAACTAAACAAGACCAAGTCTGATGGACAGAAGAAACAGGGCTGGTCACAAAACAGTGCAGCTATGGAGACGCCTAGATGCAACACCTTTTAAAATAAGGGAAATCCACCTCTCTTCCAGAGCTCTCTACTTGACCAGTCTGTGGTCACTCTGGGCAGCCATTCTGCAACATCACTAGGAGTTTTATATGTCAATTTGGTTAGGCCACAGTGCCCAGTGTTTGGTCAGATACAAGTCTAGATGTTTCCGTAAGGTATTCAGAGATGAGATGAACACTCACGTCAGTTGACTCTATAAAGGAGATTACCATGCATAATGTGGGTGGGCCTTGTCCAATCAGTTGAAGGTCATAAGAGAAAAAAAAGACTGATTCCCTGAAAAGAAGGGAGTTCTGCCAGCAGATGGCCTTTGAACTAGAGCTGCAACATGCGCTCTCCCCCGAGTCTCCTGCCTGCTGGCCCACTGTGTAGATTTTGGGCTCACCAGCCTCCACGGTCATATAAGACAATTTCTTACAAAGCAACGCCTTGCTGTCTCTCTCTATACCTCCTGCTGGTTCTGTCTCTCTGCAGAACCCTAATACACCAAGACTGTACAAAACGTACAAAGTGCTATAAAGTATTTTTGACCCCCGTATTTTTTTTTAGCTGAGCAGCTTTAAAAAAATCTATGAGGATAAAATATCTATGTTGTTTACATGAATGGTGTCCTCTGGCTTCTTCACAGGCAAACATTTACGAGAGACTCTCCGCACCTCAGAGAGAGTGCTGGGCAAAGAGCTCACCTTTGCCGCATCCGAGATGGAATCCCAGTTTCCCCCCGAAAGCGCATACTTCCCGCTGCCAATCCGTGCCAGAATCTCCTCGGGGGTGTCATCTGGTCCGTTTGCGAAAGGGGTGAATCTGTGTGACGAGAGGGTTACGGTCACGAGAGCCTCTATTTTACCCTCTAGCCCGCCACTCACAGCTGGTACTGCCTCTTTGTTATTAAAAAGAATAGGTTTATCTTCCCCCTTGTGCTCCAAATCCAAGGTTCATGTAAATCACAATTTATTTCTTAATGCTACGTCCACTTTCCTTACCTGGTCAATGCTAGGGGTCGACAGGACAAGATGAAAGCTCTGTGGACCCAGGATGAGCCTTTTTGGGCGTTTCTGGGTTCCCTGGTGACTGTGTCATAGTGGTCTGCCTGGTGACTCAGTTTACATGGTGGTCGCGTAATATAACGGATGAGGGCCTGACATTTGAGGTCTGAGAAACCCCCNCCACGTCCATCTACCATCCCGCACCAGCCTTGAGCTTTGCTTGTGACTTGGGGTAGATATTTCCGACTGACACGGGGCCCCAGGCTGAGGTCGACACCCCCCACTTCTGGCAGGAGGCCCGGGTCTGCTCTGGGCCTGCTGGGTCTGTAGGTGCCCCCTCAGGCCCGGTCAGGGCCTGGCCACCTCCACTTTGCCAGCTTGGAGGAGCTTGGACGAATGCGGGGAACTGGGTTTATCCTAAAGCAGCTCGGAAGCCCAGGATGGTCTACGCTGGATAGCTCCACTGTCGGATGGCACGTCCTGCAGCCTGGGGCAGTCCCCAGTCCTGGGCCACCTGCGAGAGGGGTGCTGTTCTGATGTCGGTCACTTTACAATGACAGCCTTGGCATGCTTTATGTTGTGCTTCTGGGTGTTGTACCGGGGGCTCCGGTCTTACATGTCCTACTGAGATGAAGGGGCCACAGGGAAGGACTAGAGTCATGAGCTGAGAGGTGAATGTCACGTCTCTCGCGAGGCCGTACAAGATGGACAAAATACGCTGATAAGCAGTCTAGAGAGCTAGTATGCTGTGTTACTTCACAGCTGGTCTCACAGCACTGGCGTCAGCTCCCACGGGCTGACCCGGAGACCTGGCAGTGTGTGGCCTCAGTCCTTTGCCCCACACAGCACCCAGGGACCGCCCCCAGCATATGAGGCAGGACCTGCTTGGGGCAGTGTAGACCCGTCCTCTGGATGGGCCATCAGTCCATCTGGACTGTACGAGAAGGCGCACGTGCGTCATGACAGAGGTGACCAGAGGCCACTCACTGCCTCGCTCGGCAGGTTCAAGGACTGCTGGCTGCAGTGACTCAGAAATAATAGTTGTGCCATGAGGCTGTCGGAGGCCAACAGGCTGCCGTCTCACATGAACGAAACAAGCAGCTAACTGTCGGCCGGAACCTCTAGGTCCCCGGGAGTGAGACATTCCCGCGAAGTCTGGCGTGAGTGAGCTTGGTGGGTGGGCCGCCCCCCGATCTCTGCTCGGCCTATCGCCTGTGTTTCTTTCACGGCCCCGAGGTCTCAGGACACGCCCGTTTCAGAGACAAAGCCGGATTCCTTGCTGCATGTACAGGGGACATCTATTAGGAAATTCAGGGACAGAGCAGTGGCCCAGGCTGTCTGCTTTGTAAACGTTTTACTGAAACGCAGCCGCACCATCTACAGATGTGCTGTCTAAGGGTGTTTCTGGGCTACATAGGTAGGGCTGAGTCGTTGAGAGACATCGGGCTCAAAAAGCCTAAAATATTTTCTGTGGGCCGTTATGGAGAAGTTTACAGATCTCTGGTCTAGAATTGAGGACTTTGGGACCTGGAGTTGGCACAGCCCCGAGTCTCTCAGTTTCTCTCTCTCTCTCTCTCTCTCTCTCTCTCTCTCTCTCTCTCTCTCNGAAAGCGTGCTCCATGCCGGCGACCACAGCGTCTGGAAAGTTCTCGTCCTTTCCCACGTGATTTCCTGAGCTCTGCGAGGCCACCCTGGAGTCACCTCTGTTTTTTCCTCACCACTCAAGGGCCTTTTCTATTCTGGAGTCTTCCTGACTCTCGGAGAGGTGAAGGGCAACCCGACCCCGTGGGAAATAAACAGAGTGCAAATCAAGTTATCATGTGCTTGAGAGAACCAGTAAGCGCAGAGGCAGTCCCAGCGGACTGTGTCACACCATTGAACGAGCAGTACGGCCAACACTGAGTGCTACTGTCACCGAGAAAGCCAATGCTTTTCCAAACATCAACACACACAGCTACTTTACAACCACAGACAACAATCTGCCCTGAGGACGGACGTGACAGCTCACTCTTGCCCGGCCTGACTTGGGGGCTGGCATCTATGAAAGCTCTCACATCTGTGGGGCGACCCAGGAGTTTCAAACAGGGGACAGCCAGGGTTGGGGGGACACCCACGCCTAGTGGGCGCTAGGAAGGGGCTGCTCCGGGGTGGGCTAGGCGGCCTGAGATCTGGGCCTTGGTTTTCTCACGACAAATTCTGTGGTTTCATGATCCAAGGGATGTGGTTATATGTGTGAGCGGGGCAGCTGTTTAACTTTCCTCACGTGTGGATTCCTACCCAGCCTTTCAGTAAGCGGGGGTGCCTGTACAGGCGCCGTGAAAATGGTCATGACACCTTCGTTCACACGCCGACGGCACAGCCACGGGCGTTTGAACGTTCAGTTTGCAATATGGTACCATCACTGCTCTAGACTGACTTCCTATTGAAGGAGTTCAAGTGTCGCTTGGTTGTGGGTCCAGGCGAGAGTTACACTGTGCAGACATTCAAGGAGCGCTGGTTCAGCAGAGCAGTTGGCGCAGCGCTCTGGGGACGCACGTCCCCTCCCTGCTATGGGCAGAGTGGGGCCCCAGGTCTGGGGACAACAGAAAAGGCAGAGCTGGGCAAGGCC